AGCGAAACCTTGGGTCGGCGTTTACATGTATAGGAGTGAATCGCTATGGCAATCTAGTAAGTCGGAGAGAGCAAAAATACGAAGTATTTATTACTTAATCACTTAATTTGACGCTAGATGCCATGTGCTTGGAAAATACTTGCCTTCTGTCTTTATTCAGTACATCTTATTTTACTAAGCGTGTTGACCGTACTCTTCGTACACACGAAAATCGTCACCCAAGACCAGAAATGCCGACCCTTAGTATAAGTATCAGTGGAATATAAAAAAAAGACATGTGTGTAACACAGGTTATAACAAATTGGAAAAAAGAATTTTACCTTCAGTAGCTAGACAGAATCGGACCGATGTTCATGTAAAAAATTAATCTAATTTTTACGTGAGGAATCTCCCCACGAAATAGGGCATATGTTTTTTGAAGGCAACGGCCCAGCTACGTCGAAACACCGGTTCCCATTAGAACACCGAAGTTAAGCGACGTAAGGCGATACTAGTGGATGGGTGACCGGTTCGAAACTCTGTATCGTGCTATTGTCCAAAAAAAAAGGCAAAAGTGTAAAATCTATTGACACACACTGCTCATTCAAGCCGGTTCGAGGCCGGATGAGATCGGATATCTCGTGAGTAAGAGTCGATTTAGACACTTGCCAAGCCGGTAGGCCATTGACCATGATATGGCCGAGGACCACGGTTCGGATTCCGCGTAAACAAAATAGGCCCCGTCCAGATTAGCCCTGGCAGCAAAAAGGAGACGTTAACTGAAATCTTTACTTTACTTTACTTTTGTTTTTTGAATAACCCTGTATAGAGGAACAGAAAATGACATATTTTTGACTCACTCCTCTTCACTCGTCAGAAGAAAGGGAACAACATTTTTTTGTAAGAATACGATATTAAATTTTCCAGGTAGATTAAATTTTAGATTATCATCTGTATGATTTTTCTGTGTTAATAATTTCGTAGTTTTATAGAAATAACGACTATATGGTAAAAGCCAATGATAAAGGAACATGTAAAATAGGGAAATTGGTGAGGTGAGCGTGAAAAAAAGACGTGGAAAAGTGTGTTGCTTTTCAGAATGTAATAATGATTCAGGTCGGGCCAGCAAGCTTCCGGAGACTGTAGTAAAGGGTTACGACAGGCCATTCGATCGATTCCTTGCCTTCCTGCCGAATGTCATTGGGTTCCAGCCAATAACATCCTTCCAGTTCTATTTGAACTGGCACAATACGCAATGACAATGAATAAAAATTTCTCCCTAACTCTTTCTGCGCTTTATAAAACTTGGACATTATCATTGTTAATATACTTCCAGGGAATAAAAATGGGAAACGACTTTCAGACGGACTTTTCCATAGAATTGCCTGGATTCGAATGTAAATGACTTATCGTGGCCCGTTTCGGTTTCAAAACGAAGGTATTTTTACCTCTGAATTATTCTTTGAACATATGAAAAAAAAATATTCATAAAAATATTTAGTATTCTCTGGACTCAGTGGAAGCATTAGTGATCTATGAATGAATATGATTTTAATTTGCCAGGATTGGTGTGAGTTATCGTGTATTATGTCTGTGGGTAGTGGGTATCTTTCGACTGTTTTATAATTCTAATGTCAAGAAAATTGATGGTATTAATAACTTTTTCGATAGTAAATTGTATTTTAGGGTTAATTGAATTTAATAAGGTTAAAAAACTATAATTTTTTTTCTCGTTGCCCTGACCAAATTCAGAAAATTCAATTCATCTCGATATATCAAGCCTAATAAGTTATGTTCTCCGAACAACGGTGAAATTATAGAACCCATTTATTGTCTTAGTTGTAAATTACTTAAACCCACCACCATAGCAAATATACAGGGTCCGGCAATAGTGTGTGGGGCATATAAATAGGGGAGAATAAAACTTGCGGAATTTTGTTGAAGTACAGACCTAAATATGTACTAGGATGTATTTCAGGAAAATATTTTAACTTCTATAGGGTGTATCAAAGAAGTGTGAGTGGATCGGGATGTGAGATTTTTTTAAATGGAACACCCTGTATATTGTTGCATTTTTGGCATCCTTTCATAATTAAATAGATGGAGAATTAAAAAATGAACATTATTTGTACTTTAAACTATTTCAAAATTTTTAACGGTTTCTAAGATATATTTTCCACTGTAAACTTATTTTATCAAAGCCACCCAAAGATTTTTTTCTCGTATTTTACCGTGTATAACAAAAAATTTTCATTTTTTAATTCTCCATCTATCAAAAAAATAATATACAAGGTGTTCGATTTAAATAAAAAAACGAAGAAATATTATTTTAAAAAGTTTGGAGTAAAATTTTGAATACCCTGTATGATTTAAAATTATGATATTTATATCAAAGTAAGTACAGACCATCTAAAGTAAATGCCTAATATAGTTTTGACTTCAGGACAGGTCTTGTATTTGTAATAATTTTTTTAAGGAAGGTTGAAAAATATAATTTTTTTTTATTTATTAATATCTCTGAAACTATCAAAATATATTTACTCATATTTTAGGATTATGTAAAGTGATCAAGAAGGAAGCTAAAAATGCAATAATATACAGGGTGGGCAACGGCCCAGCTACGTCGAAACACCGGTTCCCATTAGAACACCGAAGTTAAGCGACGTAAGGCGATGCTAGTGGATGGACGGGTGACCGGTTCGAAACTTTGCATCGTGCTGTTGTCCAAAAAGGGAAAAGTGTAAAATCTATTGATACACACTGCTCATTCACGCCGGTTCAAGGCCGGATGAGATCGGATATCTCGTGAGTAAGAGTTAATTTAGACACTTCCTAAGTCGGTAGGCCATTGACCATGATATGGCCGAGGACCGCGGTTCGGATTCCGCGTAAACAAGTAGGTCCCGTCCAGTTTAGCCATTGCAGCAGAGAGGAGACGTTAACTTGAACCTCACACATATACAGGGTGTTCCAATAAAAAAATCATCCTGATCTAGTCGGACCCTGTATATCTTTACAGTGTAGTCTTAAGAAACTCTTGAAAAAGGCCTAACAAGCCGAACCATATGTAGAGATAAAATTACTCTCATTAAACTTGAAATATCTAAAAACGTGATTTATTAAAATACTAATATTTCAACGATGTTTAACAAAAAACCAACCAGACTCAGGAACTATTTATTAAAAACGCTGCATATATTCAAATATAGTTTCCTTAAATTGTTTTTTTTTATATCACTGTGGGTTAAGTCATTACCGCATCCCAAAAAGGCAACACACAGTCATATCTCAAGGCTACTTACGCTTTCTGCTGATTTGAAATCGCCTCGAAGATCTGGTTTCCTGAAAGCTTCTTACCCCCAGCAGTAATGCACTTCTAATACCTCTACTTACACATGCCGCTTTTCGGGCAAGATAAAAACACAACCGTATCTTTTTCTCCATTCCTTCTTATAATTCTTTCCAGTTTCTGTAATGTTCAGCGGTTTTTGTTCGGGAAACAGAATTATCCAGAAGAATTCTTTTAATACTCGTATTCTATTCACAAAAGTTAGTTTTTTTTGTCTTAAACATATCTCCTATTTTCTTAATTATTATTAATAGAATACGGGGTGTCCCATTTTCGTGTGTTTCTTGTGGGTATGTTTATGGGTAGAAATAAAAGATGCGGCTTTCAAATCACTCTGCTACTTTTTTATGAAACTAAAGATGCTACACATATTTGTCCTAGCATTGTTTTCTGAAATACAAAGCGAATTTGAGAATGATGCACGTAGACTTCAATAGCGTAACTAGTTTTTTTGTTGGGAGCTGTAATTTTCGAAATATGATTTTTTTTATTGACCCTGTATATTTTTCTTAATTTTATTTGCTCTGTTATAAGCTGCCTTAAAAAATGCATTATTTAACTTATTAACATAAATCAACCTAATTTAATAGAGTACCTATTATTATTTTATTTTATTTAATCTAACCAGATTATTTCGTTTCCTTAGTGTTATCTTAATAAACTGCACTGAAAATAAACTTGTGCAGCTTCTAGATAACTTAGTGTTAATCAGAGTTTCAAATAGTTTTCGAGTTATAGATAATTCTATACATAGCTAGTGTGGAATAACTGAAATTTGACGTCGAACAAATTATTTGATTGTTTTGATTACTTAATTTAAACCGGCCGCCTATGTTATAACGTTAAATAATGCATTTTTTATCTTGTTTTCTAGAATAAATATAGAGTTTATTATATTTTAGAAAGCTCAGAACAGGTCAAATAAAATCAAAGTATAATATACAGGGTATACCATTAATAAAACATAAGTTTGGGTCACATTTTAGGAATCACTGTACGTAAAAAAATTTGAGACTCAGTTTTCACCTTTTCCATGAGTTATAAGATAACAATAAATAACTAAAAGGGTGAGAACAAATCTCTGTATATATTCTTTAGTTTCATAAAAATGTGGCAAAATAATGTGAAATCCGCATCTTTGTACCTATGAGCGACAAATCGTGTAAAAAACACAAAAATGGGACACCCTGTAAAGAAGATATAGTATATATTTTTTATGAAAATACTTAAAATAATGTTTTTCTTAAATAGAACAGAAAACAACTGGCTGAAACTTGGAATAATAATCCCCGGATTATAAATTTTAAATAGTTCTGGAACTTAAATGTTAAACCGCCCGCCGAAAACCTTGTAATATATTAATTCAGCGAGGAAGGGTTGAGTGACCCCTTGAAATATAAGGTCGGTGCTGAATAAGGAAGGAACCGTTTGTCAGATTTTTCGCCACATTATTTCTCCTTTATATTAACGAGAAACTTTCCTTAATCATTTGCGGGAAAACTTTGAACGGCTCCAGTCGAACTCCTGATTGTTTTGATTCGGCCTTTTCATTTTTCCTAGTGGTTTTTGTTTATCCTCAATACGGAAAATAGACTTTATAATTGAAATGTTTCCAATATTTAATAATCTTTATTTCTGTCTTCTATAATACTTAATCTTATTTTTGTTATAGGTGAGTCCAGTTGATGTAACACCTACCTACATATATGAAATGATGGAATGAAATGAAATATGACTGCACATCTGAACTGTAAGTACATTTTTATATCATATTATGTTATTTGATATTTTTTTTATCTAAATAGCATCGATTCGTTCTGAAATTAAACTGGAGGATGTCCCAATATTCCCTGGACATAGAACTACTCGTATCCTACAATATCTCCTAACTGATATTGTTAAGTCGAAATATCCTATATTAATTACTGATGGGAAAAACCGATTAAATTCAATAATCGAGTACTCAAGTTTCAAGCGATTTTGATAATCGAGTACTCGATTATTGAATCGAGCGAAATATCGCTCGTATTTAAAAATACGGTTTATCGCCTGTCGCTTGTTGCTTGTTGTACTCGTAACGCCAAGCACTAAGTTGCGTGCGCAGAGCACATATCGGTGATGAATGGCAAGTAGCAAGAGACGAGCGATTCGCTTGATCGCATTGATCGCTTTCTTGATTTATTTCATTTAAGGCATTGTCGATGTAGGTCGTAAAATTTTGTCACTCCAACACACAACGGATAACGTCGTATAAATTTGCTACCTGCAATGTATGTAGAAAATTCGCTCGGCTTTTTCTCAAGTATGTCACATTAAAATCGGATTTCAATTTATTTCATTCTAGGATCGCTTGCATTTTTCGCTCGAAACTCGCCACTTGCGTCGCTCGTTCATAATCGAGCGATGTCGGTCATTTCAATAATCGAGTACTCGAGCGAATTTTCGTGAGTAATGATGGGATAAATCACTAATATTAATTCAACTCCTATTAAAAGCATAAAATAAAGAAAAGTTGGTCTATCAACAATCAACACTTAGGAGAAATTGCAGGCTCCAAGTCGATATTACAATATTATAAATTTCTATAAAGGATCTTGTAGGTTCAATAAATTTGTGGTGGTATATTGTTGGTTGTAAAATATATTTCGTTATTAGTTTATGAGTAAATTTTAAGCACTGTTGACGGCGGTTTAATAAAATTGTACCCCTTATCCTGAAAATGTCAAAACTTTTGGTCGGAGCCTACTACAGCGGTCTAACTGAATAAATTGCGCGAAAATTATGACCAAGATAATAATATAAAAGCCGCTACGGGGAAAAAGGGTATTTTTAGGCATTTTTGTTTGGAAACCTATAACTTTAAAGATGTCTTCAAGTTAAGGGCGTGCTTGAAAAGGCGTTAACATTTTTTCTCCATGTAACAAAAAGTAAATGTTTCGTAATAATTTAGTGAAATCTTTATAAAGATTTCGACAAAAAGTTTCTGCTTGAAGTAAGGGGTTTTTGTCTTGACGTTTTGCATTTTTTTGTATTTTTCATTTTATTTTTATTGAAATGTAATTAATTTTAATAATTATATTATTTAATTACTTAAGAATTCCTATAAAATGTACAGGCGTCTCTTTTTCCCTTGCCCTTCATATTATCTTGTTTTTTTTCAGAATGAGAAGAAAATTATAGAAAATATTTTAAGGAATGCGAAGACACACAATTTAAAATTATTTTTTATACAGGATGCGTTAAAAATTGTGGTGGATATAACAAATAAATATATTTTTAGCCTGTATACTCAAATAGTATTAAATTTTGTATCTTCAAGTTCCCTAAAACTTTTCATTTCAAAACATTTTTTTGCAATTCTCAAAAAAGGATAATGAACATTACTCTATCATTGCCTCACCCTGTACATCAGTAGATGTTAGTAATATATGTCTGTCTCCTTTTTAATAATTCGAAATTGACACATGAACCTAAAATTTAAAAAAAAATGTATCGTTTGTGTCGTGTATACAGGTGCAAATATTTTTAGGGGTAGTATATCTCGACCCCAAAAAAGCAAGATTTTGAGGGTTTTTTCACGAAATAAAATTTAGAAAATTTTAAATTTTTTGAAAAATATTTTGGAAATTTTTTTAGTTTTTAATTAAAAATCATAATCTGACAACATAGATAGTAGATTAAATTTACCAGAAAAAAAATTCAGAAAAAAGGCAGTGGTTCTCAAAATTTAAAGAAAAAATTTTTTTGGGGGAATTTTCAATGTAAAATAACTCGGTTATTTTGGAGTTATTTGAACAACAGTAAAAGAGAATATATATATATATATATATATATATATATATATATATATATATATATATATATATATATATATATATATATATATATATATATATATATATATATATATATATATATATATATATATATATATATATATATATATATATAACCAAACTAAGAAGAAAATTCTTGGGGATAGCGGTCTAGAGGCAAAAAATTAAACAATTTATTACAAACGCCGAGCTTTCGGAAAATATATTTCCTTTTTCAAGGCTAAAACATCACAAAAGTCAACTGAATATAATATAATATTATATAAACTTACGTGTAAAAAGTTTAATTATAAAAATAGAAAAATATATCAATTTCTATATGGAAGAAAGGAACTAAAATTTTGTATAAAAGTTAAAATCTTCTTAAATATTCATGATTTCTGACATTACTAAAAATTATTTTGACATAGAAAGGTAAATTTAATTATTAATAAAAAAACACGTAAAAAACATATAAGGTTAATCACAAGTTACAAATAAAAATAGAGAAAAAATCAAATTTTAAATATTATTTTTATTTTTAATAAAATGGAGTAAGAAAGAATATATATTACTAAGATCCTCATTATCTTTTCTTTTATTAATACAATTATCATAAATGTAAATTTCTACCATTTCAAGAAAAGTCTTTTATTAGTATTAAATTCAGTATCCAAAATTTTGCATTTTTAAAATCAATATTATGTAGTGTATCAATCACATGTTCTGATAATGCACAACTACGTTTACATAATCTAAAATCACTAATATGTCTATTAATACGTTCTTTAAGAACAGTAGAAGTTTGTCCAATATAAGAAAGATTACAATCAAGACAACTAATATTATAAACAACACCAGATTTATATAAAAAGATAAGATATTGAGGATCTTAGTAATATATATTCTTTCTTACTCCATTTTATTAAAAATAAAAATAATATTTAAAATTTGATTTTTTCTTTATTTTTATTTGTAATTTGTGATTAACCTTATATGTTTTTTACGTGTTTTTTATTAATAATTAAATTTACCTTTCTATGTCAAAATAATTTTTAGTAATGTCAGAAATCATGAATATTTAAGAAGATTTTAACTTTTATACAAATTTTAGTTCCTTTCTTCCATATGGAAATTGATATATTTTTCTATTTTTATAATTAAACTTTTTACACGTAAGTTTATATAATATTATATTATTTTCAGTTGACTTTTGTGATATGTTTTAGCCTTGAAAAAGGAAATATATATTCTCCAGCTCGGCGTTTGTAATAAATTTTTTAATTTTTTGCCTCTAGACCGCTATCCCCAAGAATTTTCTTCTTAGTTTTGGTTATAACTGATCGGTCAAGACTTCCTCTTTGTATATATATATATATATATATATTTGCACTTACTTAAGATTCAACCTGTATAATACTTTGAACTATTTTAATTTTTCTTCGTAACTAAATATCATTAGCTGATTACAATATAACTGAACAACTGTCATCATTTTATATTTTTAATTAACAAAAATTTCAAGGTAAATTTAGAGATAATTTATACAGAATAAATATTTATATTTTCTGTCCTGGTATAGATATATTTTTAATATATCCAACAAGGGATTCAGGATTATATTATATAACTATCTTCATGACATCTCATTGACACGTCTGAGTGTAATGATTAATGAAAATCATTCTTCGTTATTGCTTTAACATGATATAATCAATGTTAATTAGGGCCTATTAAAGTATCTATAACAGCCATGAATCAATTAATTCATTACGCAATGGTCAATTTGCAGTCCTGTAACGCAAATTTAACTTACTTTAATAATGATTATCCATACATCATTTGCATTTGCCCTATAACAGATAAGCTGAATTTAATTAAATTCAAAACAAGTCAAATCTGAGAATTTACACATCTAATTTGCCAGAAAATTAGGTTATTCGGACACAACAAATATTAACTTTACTTCAATTATTTATTAATTATTGAGACCTAAATTCGTTAAATAGAAAACTCATTTTAGTAACAGAATTATGTAAACACAGCTATAGTTTAAATCTCCGGATTAGAGGTTGCATTGGAATACAATTCCTGAGAAGGCACAGATAATAAAGTAATAAATTAGGGTGTAATTGGACATACTAAACAAGGCTGTCCCTCTTTTCTTTTAAAATTATAAGGGTATATATCCGCACTCCCAAGAGATTCACCCAAAGGTTTGCAATTCTTCCTTAAACCTGTCTCTCCTGGGCCTAAACTTGATGTGTCTTTCCCGATTTTTAATGTCATTTCCTGAAAGGGAGAGATATTTAGGGTAGAAAGTTTTTTTTTTTAAATTGACACTCGGTATAAATGATGCATGTGCTCTTATATACACGTGTTCTTTTTTTAGATACCTGAATATACATGATGTGTCTACATTGAAAGGGATTGATAGGGATGATTTTTTTCTATTAACTTAATTTGATTCCGAAAACTAACTATTAACTTAACCAATAATGTCTTTGTAAATCTCAGAGAAATTAATAGATATAAAGGTTAAATTATAATATTTAATATTTATTTTTTAGACAATTTCAATTATTTTAATAATTATTACATAGGGTGAGTCTTAAATAAGTGCAAATATTTTAGGGTTAGTATATTTCGACCCTAGAAACATATTATAATTAAATTATAAATTTAAACTTCGTATTTTTTGAAAAAATGTTTGGAAATGTTTTTAATTTATAATTAAAAAACATAGTATCTTCATAATATGGCAACATAGATAGTAGATTAAATTTACAAGGAAGAAAATCTAGAAAAGTGCCATTGTTTAGGTTAGGTTAGGTTATTTTGGACTTATTTGAAAAACTGTAAAGAAAAAATATGTATATATATACATGTATATTGTGCGATAAACGAGAAATAGGTTTTATATCTGCGGTTCTTA